TTGCATCCTTTTATGTTCTACTTCTACATTCGGTATTTTCACGACACCTGTACAACATGACTGAATGCATTGTGGAATCACTGTTATCCCGCTCAATTGGATTGAGACCTTTTTCCGAGAAACGAGAGATCGTCGAAGGTGGCCGTCCCACTCCTGAGTTGCAAGGACTACATACAACATCCAAGCGAAGTGGTAAAGTCTTTATTCGAAGTTTTCAGACGTCAAATTACGACAAGTACAAATGGCTGGCTGGCTCCTCAAAATTGAATAAGTTATTTTGCTGGCCGTTTCTTTTGTTCAACTCAACAGACAAGACAGTCTGGTGCAAAAAGGGATACGATGATTTGGCCAACCTGTATGATGCCGTCAACAAACACGAGAAAACGAAGACACACTTGTCCAGTTGCCTAATGAATGCCAGTTTTGGGCGTACACGCATCGACATGCAGCTAGACGAACCGGCCCGTCAACACATCTCAGCTCACAACTTGATGGTGCACGAGAATAGAGAAGTATTTCGCCGTTTCATTGATGTTGTATGCTTTCTTGGCAAACAGGAACTTTTATTTCAGAGGTTGGGTGGAGTTGGAGGAGTCTGCCAACAGGGACAATTACGTCGAATTGATAAAACTGCTAAGTGCATATGACCCCACGCTTGAACAGCATCTTTATACAGCTAACGTGTTTTCTGGACTTTCTAGTCGTATCCAGAACGATTTGATTGTTGCTGTCAAGGACGTTATGTTGAAAGCAATAAAAGATGAAGTGATGAGGAGCCCATTTGTCGCTATTTTCCAGGATGAAAGCTCCGACTTTAAGACCTTATCGCAGCTAACAATTATAGTTCGCTATGTCAACCCAGATGGTAAAGCTGTGGAGCGGTTTCTTGGATTTACCGATGTAAGTGAGGATAGAACTGCGGCTAGACTGAAACAAGAAGTCGGTAAAACCCTGAATGAGTACGGATGCGGCAAAAAACTGATTGCCCAAACGTATGACGGTGCGAGTGTGATGTCAGGAGAACTGTCCGGTTTGCAAACACGAGTAAGAGAAGACTGTCCACATGCACTTTTTATCCACTGTTGCGGACACGCCTTAAATTTGATCCTTGTTCAAGCTGTCTCGTCAACTAAAAGTGTCGTATATTTTTTAAAACCGTCACTGGTCTTTTATCCTTTTATCACGCCTCGTCCAAGAGAACATACCTGTTGGACACAGTTGTCGGCAGACGCATTCCCACTGGAACAGCTGTTCGATGGCACTATCAGAGCAGGTTAATCCATGCTGTCCTGGAGACAAGAGCAAAGCTGCTCGAAGTTTTTGAATATATCATCGAAAATGATGACGAGTTTGACGGTACGACGTTAAACGAAGCGAGGGGCTACCGACAAGTTCTTGCAGATTTCAAGTTTGTGTTCTGCCTTAAAATATTTTCAGAAATATTTGGCCTTACGGATGTTTTGTATAATATCGTTCAGAGTAAGCAGTTCGATATTGTCTTCTGTGTCACGAAAGTTCGCGAGACGAAAGATAAGATTCAAGAACAACGAACAAAATTCGTAGATTATTGGAATTTTACGTCAAGTATCGTCAAAGTAGCACTGAAACGCGGGCAAAGCGGAGAGGATGTAAAGGCGTCCTTCCGTCAATTGTTTTTCTGTGTAGTCGATACCATTGTCATGCAGATTGACTCTAGATTCGAAAGTCTTAACAGCAGAGCATTCGTTTCTTTGTTGGATCATTCAAAGCACGACTTGTACAGCCTGAATTTTCCCGAACGAGAGCTGCAATCGTTGCAAGATACATATGGAACATTCTTTAATCTTTAAGCACTAAAAAGTGAACTAATAGTTGTATACGCATCTGACGAGCTCAAATCGAAACCTGTTTTTGATATAACAAATATCAAAAATAATCGAACTTGACTTGAAAGCCTCTTTTCTAGAGGTGTACCGATTGTGTCAGCTCATTCTTACTACGCCAAGTACGTCCTCCTCTGCAAAAAGATCATTTTCGGCTCTCAAGCGTATCAAAACGTATCTTCGCAGTACACAAGGGCAAGAGCGACTTTCTGCATTGGCTACAATTTCAATCGAGAAGGAGATGTTGGTAAGTTTGCAGGGGAAGCCGCGATTCTATGAGGACGTTATAAAGGAGTTTTGCGCAAAGGAAAGACGGATGGAATTTACATTTAAGTAAATCTGTTGTAGGATTTTGGACTATTTCGTTCTGTTACTTCTTCACTACAATAGAAATGCACGCGTAGCCATTTACTTAAAACGACTTTATATCACAATACCACATGTAATACTTGTAAACCGTAATTGTGATATATACTCTATAAAAGTTTTTGAATTTTTTAGATTTTTTCAATACTGTTTCAGTCATGACAGATACATTTTTTCGACAAAGTACTCCCAGAAATCGCGGGAAATGTGCTCCGGCAAGCCGCAAACCTCACCCCCAGCATTTGCCTATTAAATTCGGTCACCGCACGCCACTGCAATGAGGCCGAAAGTTTTTACTAAATATTTACTATTCACTCAAGCAGTACAAAACATGAACATCTCTGTTAACCTAAAACGTAAAACTCATCGTAAAAATACTAAAGGGCACTTCTTTTTGTGAACATACCATGTCATTAAACTTTTTCAGCTTTTCGTCATAGCCTGATTTTTTTAGCTTTCTGCTCGCTCCCAATCCACGTTGTTCCTCGCTGTTTCATGTATTGGCCAATATTGAACCGCTTAAATTGTGATCCTCTTGGCGACTTCATTTTAGCAGTTTTATTGCCCAAATTTAAAAAAATAAAATCATAGGATTTTTTACAGACAAATATACTTCAATATTACGGTGGCTCACAAAGGACACCACACAAAATGATAAGAATTATACAAAATAAAGATATTGGTAAATACACGATTTACATCACACACATACAAAATAAAAATACACACACAAAATACATTATAGACACAACATAAAAATATACGCACAATACAAAATTACACACACAAAAAAAAAACAATATACACACAAAATAAAAATACACAAACAAAATATCATCGCGGGCGTTTGCAGTGTCGGGTTTCTTTGAGTTGCTCAGAATTGATCGTGTATGTTTTCAAAGTTCCAATTATTTTAACTTCAAGAGTACAAAACAAAATTTACTCATTTCACTCTGATCAGTTATTTCAAAGTTGCTTACGATATTGTTCCGTATTTTGCTTAAAATTAAGGCTAATATGTTGTCCTGGTTGTGGCAACGATTCCGGCTCAGTCTCGGAATCAAACACGTACTGTGATGATTGTTTATCAGAGCAAAAGAATAACCTGTTATCAGCGTATTTATCATTACACGCTTGATAACAGGGCATTTTAATCGCGGTTATCCGTATGGGGAAATCGTCAGATTTATGTAAACCTCCGGTATTTTGATGTCTATACGGACACTGCATTTGTGACAAAAAGAAGCTTTGTTAGGTGATTGTGCACCACAGCTCGCACAAAATTTAATTATACCAGAGGGTGCGGCGCAATTAACGCTAGTCATTATTTATTATGTGAGCATTCTCGGCCGTAATTTGTCAACTACCTGCAGATAATTCTTGATATCTGTAGGTCATGACGTCATAACCTACAGATTATAGTTTCTACAAAAATGGCCACCATTAAAAGCCGGTTTTGAAAACAAATCAAACAACAGCGATGTTTGCCACAGTTTCTAAAAACGATGTGAAAGCTTTTAAAGCAAAAAACAACAAACCAATCGCATACAAACCAATCACAACGTTGCGACATAAAGCACAAAGAACAACCCAACGAACGACAAGGTGCAGTTTACAAAATAAACTACTCCGACTGACACGCCTCTTATATCGGGAAAACTGGCAGGAACTTAAACACAAGACATACTGAACACAAACGAGCTACGAAGAAACAAAACAAAACTGCTCACCTTACCGAGCATCACCGATTCACAAAGCACAACATTGACTGGGACTCGGCAAAATGCATTATATACAGCACTGACTGTAAACAAGGACTTACATTAGAAAGTTGGTATACCAACTTGGAACAAACCCCCATGAACAGATCACAGCAATTACCGGCATCTTATAAACGACTTGTTATACAAACAAACGATCAACTAAAAACATTACACTTAACACTAATCCACAATGATAATACACAAATGACAACCACATATTTATTGTACAAAACTAGATAACAAATACGGCTAACCTGACGTTTACTCCTTATTGGACTCTGAAGATGACTACCGCTAAGTTTGTCAAAGCGTCAGTCAACAGCAACAAAAATAGTCCTTCTCAGGGCTATACTAACCTGAACGATCTAAACGTGCTATTATTATATTAGTTCTTAATTATTATAATTAATACAATTATTACGATTATTGTAATTATTGAATTAGTTTAGGTTAATCTTAACGAAATAAGGTGCTATGCATATATAATCAAGATACTACCATTTTATCACATAGCATTATATATATTATTTTGTACCCATGTAAACTTCCTATTCACTTCGCAATGAAAATCGCATATAATATGCTGAAACATGTTTGCATTAAAAAAAATTGTCTTGTACTTTAATTGTCGTATGACAATTGTGCTACAATAAAATCATTAAAACTTTAATTTCATTCCAAATTTACTGAAACAGAATAAAAAACATAATGGATGAAACGCACTAAGCTGTCGCTTTAGTAGCACGTCTAAAACTACAACTTTCCGTGGTTATGAAACTAGTTGCGTAGTTATGTCAGGTAGTCACTTTAGAAATCCAACATGTCACAAGCATTATTGAAATTTACCGACTTCATCTTGCAAAGGGTAAAAGAAATTAACAGACTCGTGAATTATTATAGTTTATAGGACTTATCGAATATCAAAAATTGGAAACACAAACACAAACACAAACCATAAAATAGGTTCATGGAGTAGGATTGCCCACCACCTACTTGTAATAGGCTATGATAGCTTTGGTGTATTTTAATTGGCTTGTTCTCTTTTGATCACAAAGTAGTTTTTACGGAGTATAAATTCATGTTTTAGTAGAAATCATAAGGGAAAAAATAATAAGTTTAACGGATGTTTATGTCAGGATAACAAACATGAAATGTTCACCAGATGCCATTCTACAGTCGAAACAATCGCTCATGCATGTGTTTCTTTAAGTTTGTTCAATTCGTTGTTCACGTTTTTTGCCTGCTTGCTTCTTTTTTTTGGTTACACTTTCTTTACCGTTGCTCCGACCCAAATATTCTTTTGCAACTCTCCAAGTTGGATTGTTTTTGCAAGGTTTAGGTTCAGAAAACCACAATTCTTCATTCTTCCATGCCATGTAATTTACGTTTGGTTTAAATTTACAAATGTATGCAACCTTGGGAATTGCATATTTTTTAAATTTAACTTCTTTTTCATATATACTCCAATACAACCTCATTTGATCAGGATAACTTTGATGAAGACCAAGAACTGAATGACAAATTTCGCTCCTTTTTTTTACGTCCTTATCTGACTTGAAATTTGAAGACGAAGACCGAAGATGAATTAGTCTGCCATTATCTGAAAACGTTGTCAGGTTTGAAATATTTTTTAACCAATAGCCGATGGACTGACTTTCCCAGATCAGACAGTTTAAAGTATTCTTCCGTCTTAAAAACGATTCAACAATATCGGAAGACATAAGAAGAAACGACTCATCCAGCATAGTTGCATCTAAAAATTAAAAAAAAAACATGGTAAGTAACAACAATTAGTCATGTATATATACAACCAAATCTGTAAATGCAAAATTACATATACAATTGTACAATAAAACTTTTATAGCTAGCTATAATGAAGAATGTTTTTATTTGACATTAAATACATAAATGTATTGCTATTTTTATTGTTAGTTTATAATACTTGCACATGGTGCGCTATTCAATTCTTTTATTGTTATTTTTAAATTGTAGTGTTGTCAAAATTTTAAGTACATATATCTATAAACAAATCATTATAACGTCAGCATAAATATAGTAACTATAAATAAAATTCTATCTTTTGTCGAGAGTTTATGGATTCCTGGCTACTGCAACCTAGTAACTAAAGCTCCTTTTCTTAAAATAGTATTTGGTTTTGGTATAGTAAGGACGCAATTATTACTTCATACATGGTATTGACATGGAAAATTTTTTCGATAAATGAGTGTTAACCATGGCACATATTCACTTCTTATTCCATGTACTATTTATATTTGCATGCATTTCATATATTAACAAGAAAATACTCCAAAAACTTTTTAATTGCAATAAGGATTAGCAGATGTCCAATGGGATTAACTAAAAACTAATGGTAAGATAATGGTAATATTACAATGTTTAAAATTAAGATCTCAACGAATGTTGGATTTGTTTTAGGAACAGATAAAGAAACGGTTCACAAGACTATGATCACCAATTACTATGTGTACCACACTAGATTTTGGAAGTTTCACTTGTCTATTATTGTCTAAAATATATGAATAATTCATTTGTAGTTATATCAGTGAGTCGAGTGGGCTCAGAGATGATTTGATGCAGTATATTAACATATGTTAACCGCTTTTATTGAATTTAAATGCTTTTACATGAGCAAAATAGATCTTTTTATGTACATAGTTAAACGTAAACCTGTGTTAGACTAAATAGATAAATTTGTCTCCCGACGTAGGAGTAAAAGTTGCATTCCAGAAGTAAACGGTGCGTCTGACTTCGCCACTAATTATTGCATTTCACAAGGCTTTATATAAGGGTGGATCTAATATTTTTCAAACGTAAGTGAAGAAACACTTTCTTAGTTAAGGTTGCAAAGTCATGCTACTCAATAAAATTTCCATTTCTTTAATAATGGAAATGCAATTTCCTGCATTTATGATGAATTATAAGTGTATTTTATGAGTATCATTTGTAAGTCAAAATTTATATTTTCGAGCATCTGAATAGTTATCAATATGATTTGTCTTTTCGACCTACGTCATGAGTTTAAAAGCAGGCCTAGGAATATGACTATCATTTTTATTTGACAGCCTGACTCTAACTTGAAGAGCCTTACAACATTACTAACTGCAAGAAGTATATTTACTTATCTAGAACTTTTGGAAATTTTTGTAGGGTAAAGATCCCCCCAAATTGCACAAGATAAACATTATGCCTTGTGCTTTGAAAGGAAATAACAAAGCCATAAAAAGTCTTCAAATCAGTCAAGCCAAAACCTCTCTGCTACTTATAGCTTAAGAAAGAAAATCAATTGTTTTGAGACTAAAAACTTTCCCAATCAGATCACAAATCTCACGGGTAGGCTTTAGATATTTTTCTATAAAGAGCTGCATCAAATTGAGTAGTAGGGGCATACATTGGTTTGCAATCATATTGTTTTGATCTTTCTGGAAAATGCACAGAGTCAGTGGAAGATTCGGCATATAACAACCAAGAGAGAAAGCACTGGATTAAGCATTATCTTTAAGAACTATATTTACAGCCATCATTGCTGCTTCAGCATAGCTCTTGTTTTTTCTTTTAACAAAAAATTGAAAATAGTACGTTTCTTATTGGCTAAAATTTTTAGTCTGGGAGAATTATATGAGGTGGGATTGCTAGTATTTATATAATTCCTGTTAAAGCTACTTAGAGAAAAAATTACAAATGCAAAGTGGTTAGGTTGAAGTGGTTAACCAAATTTAGTTGTATCCTTATAACTAAATAAGATGTGCAAATTCTTAGAAATTTTCATGGTGGATGAAGGTGCTCAATGAATGCAATATAGTTTGAGATTTTCCAGATTTTCGTTTAGCTGATGCAGGGGCTAGGCTAGCGGCTGCATGATTTCTTGTTTCATTGTGTTCATTCAGTGTTCGGATGCAGAGGCTACGTTCACAATTAACAGCATAGCATGTGGGATTGATATCTCTTTATCTCACTCATAGATGAGCAGTTGGGGTACGTTCATAGTTAATAGGTCTCATCTTCTTAAACATTTGTCTTGCTCGTTTAAAAAATTATTAGTGTTCTTATATATCTTATTGTACAGACGTTTCTGCGGCTGATGGGTTGGGGCGGCCTCCTTAGCTCAGGAGGCTTATGGCGTTTTTATCACCCCACCTTTTCTGTGCTATACAGAAAAACTTTATTCGTAAAGATTTTTGTTTAAATTGTGTAAAATAATTAATTTATATTATGTTATACTTGTTATTTCTGTTTTAATAAATCGGCATGTGCTTTCACACATTGCCAATTTTTACCCAAAAGACAGTACTCTTTAATGTCATGCGCACAGAAAACAGAGCTCATCAGCCCAAGAACCACCTTGAATTTCGATTTGTTATGATTAAGCGGAAGCGATAAATAGACGTATATCTTAATCCCCGGTAGGCAAGTTTTATAGATTCTCCGACTTTGATCTCACTCGGAGTCTTGTTAGCTGGTGTGCCTTTTATTCAGCTGTAATTAAGAGCGTATTTTATGAAGCATTTTCATTTTTTGCTTTTTACCATTAATTTGCACTGACGAAATAAACAATAACCTTCAAGGCAGAGAATGTAAGGTGTAAGTACGGTTTACTTCAAAAAATTTACGTGTTAAATTTGTAACATCTTTGTCATGAGGAAAATAAAAATTTGCGTTTGCGGGAACAGCACTACACAGTCGAATTTTTCTGGCACAATTTTTTATTGCTTGTGTTTACTCGTGCTCATAAACCACAAAAATGTGTTAAGGGAAGTGATCATTCCTGTCCATGACCACAGTCACGCGTGATTAGTCTGCTGGTAAAATGACAATGTTGTTGTCGTGTTTTAGACGTTTGCATGCTTATTGTTCGTCCTTTAACAAGTTGTTGTCACGTATAGAGGACGATTGTAATGTGAGGCTATCCTGCTTCTGATCTCATCTTGGTTGTCACTGACAAGTCTCTTTGATACGCTAGGACAGCCTCGACACTTAATAATATCGTCTCAGTCGGGATTCGTCTAGGTGTTATGGAATGTTTTAATACGTAAGATAGTAGTCGCGTTTCAGTTTCGTCTAATGAGCGGGAAAAAATATTCCTCACCCTGGTATCGTCATATTTATGTCTTGTACATGTTTTAGTGCGTTTTAATCGTTCAAGTTTTTGTTTTTGTTCGCTTTGGTGTTGTGTCTCTGTCTTGTTAGCTTGTTTCTCTGAAATAGTTTGTATCGTAGAAAGTGAAGTATCATTTACCGTCGTGGTATGAGTTCCTTCAGTTTGTTCAGTCTTTGTTGTTGTTATTTGATGTAATAGTTGATTCGTCTGTGAAAGTCGTTAATCCGTGCTCGTATCAGTCGTCTGCTGGTGGATTTGACAATCTGAATAGCCTCTTGTGGGTTCAACGGGGACTTAAATCTAAGTCTTGCTGCAACAAGACCAAAATCCTTGCAGCGGTGGTTGAACCAGAGTTGTTTGCGTATGCGTCTGACGTTGCTTGGGAAACGTATGTGATCGTTAGCAAGTTGTTCGTTCTGTCGTCCAAATGATAGTAATAAAGTAAATGGTTTGAACCCGGGAGTATCGTTACATTATTGTAAATGTAGATCGACCAGGTTGGTATATTTCTGAGAAGGACTTTTATATTTGCGGGAAAAGCCAATGTGATAAGAGCCATCTTGTTAGGTCAATGCTTTACAATTTGAATGAGCTGTTTCATCCAGTTCCAAGTAAAATCATTAACTGCTATGGCGAACCTCAGATGGAATTGGGCGAAATGGTTAAAAGGATTAAGTTAAACAAAGATCTTTTTTATTGATAATTAAACACTTCTATCTTTTACAAATAAGTTTGTACCTGACTGATTTCCATCGTTAGGGATTACATTAGTTTCTATTTGAAAATGCTTGTTTACAAAATTCGATACATTATTATCGTTTTTCACAGTATTACCATAAAACATGCTTACAATTCTACTCATACTATGGCCTCGCACTCTTTGGTTTAGGTAAAATATACAATATTGTCCACATACATCGGTCCAAATACTTTGTAATTTTTCGTGCATTAAATTCCCAATCATAATGATTCAAATAGTCTCTAAAGAATTTATGATAAATCTTAGGCGATTGGCCATAGCTGTCGATGAATTCGGCTTTTCGTTCAGGCGGAAAGTAAAATGCAACCCAATGACTTCCACGTTTTCCGCTGATATCGGTGTTTGCTACAAGCCCATTCGGATAGATTTTTATTACTTTAGATAAATGATTGGCTGGAATAACACCAATAATTTTTTTGCTTGTAACAGGATCCGATCTCAAAGCAGACGGAATCCTGATGGAATGATGAAACTTTTGTATTGCACACCTTACAGGGTAAACGGCTGGGCTTTTCTCACTTCAACTTCGAGAGACATAGCTCTACTAGGATTCACTATAACTTTGCCAACTCTTAGATAAACATTTGCCAGCTTCACTTTAAAGGCTGCATCGTCCCCGGATGCCATTAGGGCAAACTCGTCACTGGTACGGTTCACTACCTCTTTCAAATCAACATAGCTAAGAAGGAGGCGTTCACCAAAGAAAACATCACAAATTATAGGGCCTCCCATTTCGTCAATTGCACTTCTCGTAATAAACTTACTTCGTATTTTCAAGCCTTTGTTTGGACTAGCCTTTACTGGGTCGGCAACCTCCATTTTTGAAGCTTCGTCCTTGTAAAACAACGCAGCTGTCAGCTGGGATTGTTTAGCTGAT